GGTTTAGGGTTTAGGGTTTCTGGTTTAGGGTTTAGGGCAGATTTAGGGTTTAGGGTTTAGGGTTTAGGGCTTAGGGTTTAGATCAGGTTTCTGGGTAGATTTAGGGTTTAGGGTTTAGGGCTTAGATCAGGTTTCTGGGGTAGATTCTAGCACATATTAGATACACAGACAGGTATGCCCTGGAGGGGGGAGTTTGGAATAAGTCATTTTCCTTGAGTTAAGTTGTTTGATACAAGAACAAGATGTTGTTATCTCCAATCAAATACATAACACATGCATTACCCTGCTTCTAGAAAAAATGAAAACATCAGCTTTCTGCTATGCAGAATGCAGATGTGCATATATACATATGCACACACACATGCTCATTTCTCTACATGCACGTTATACATATATAAAATGAGAGAGAGGGAGAGACACATTACGATGTGATATCGTTACGAGTGTTTCGACCTGTCATAGAAGTTCCTGAGCCCTGGGCTCTTAGTGTGGGTTCAGGGTTAGGGTGGCCACTTCTGAGAACTCGGTGTGTTTTATTAGATTCAGTTCATTAACTTAGTAGGCTTATATGAAGTGAAGGATCATGCCATGTTTTGGGGTTGTTTGTTCACTCATGTTATTTTCTGGAGAAGCGAGCGCCCATCGACGTAAATTCAGGCCAGGATTCTTCAACCGGGAGGTAAGAAACATGAACTGAAGGCGTGAGGAGATGAGGGGTTCTGTGGAGATCCACAGACCCACCGTTTTTGAAGGTTTCTACTGTCGACTTCAGCTGCCAGAACCTGCTATTCTGTAGGGCTTGGGGTCACAGGTATCCATCAAATCATGAACATGCTACCCTCCCCCCTTGTGGAGTCCACCAACATGGGGTTTCGAGCCCACTTCCTCTAATAATGCAGGTACAAGACCTCATCGACCTGTTCGATTGGATTGATCATGACAAAGGCTTGGCGGCTTGTGTTCGCATGTGAGCTAGGGCGGCTCAAGAGCTTTAGCATTTTGGGGCTTTGGGTTTGCAGCTTGGGGATTATATCGGGTCGTTTCCACTTTTTCGTTCGCTTTTGCGTTACTTTTAGCTTCAACCCTGGATGCCTGAAGTTTCAGGTTGTGAGGTGGTCTCCAAGTTACATTCTTCTGCCGGGCACATAGTATATGAAAACATGCAGTCTTCGGGTATCCAACAAGGTACCTCAAGTCTGGGAAACTGTTTCCACATGTTATGTACGGTCGTGGTACTATAGGGTTGGCTTGCTACTGAGCCTACACCAATCCCGACCCTAAGCCCAAACCCAACAACCTATTGTTGCAGGGCATATACCCAAAAAGCCAAGGGGTCGTGACCTGCGTCGGGCTAGGAGCTACAGGTAAACCCTAACCGAAGGTTCAAACAAAAATGCCACAACCCTAAACCGTGTAGTGTGCCCTTCGGGCCCGAACGTCTTAGCAGAAAGGAGTCCTTAGTCTTACAGGGTAACCCTAAACCCTCAAACCCTAAACCCCAAGCCCCAAACCTTAAACCCTAAACCCTCAAACCCTATACCCTAAACCCCAAACCCAAACCCTAATCCCCAAACCCTAACCCTAAACCCTAAAGCTAGGGGCGAAGACATGGGAGCCCATTGAGCCAAGTCGGAGGTTGAGAAGGTTTGGGGGTTTAGGGTGTAGGGGTTCAGAAGGGGGTTTAGGGTTTAGGGGTTCAGGGGTTTAGGGGTTTAGGGTTTTGTGGGTTTGTGGGTTTAGGGATTTAGGGCTTAGCGTTTAGGGTTTAGGGTTCTAGGGTGGGCTCATCTCGAAGCGCGAACCCATCTCAGAGGCACATCTCCCTAACCCGAAACCCGAAAGCCTGAATCCCGTTCAGGTGGCACCATCACCATCGACGAGTTCATGAACGGGTTCAGGCACCTGGAACCCTGAAGCCTAAATTTTCAGGGATGGACCTAAGGCTTAGCTTGGGGGTGGTGCTATGAGACGTGTGAGCCTGCGCAGCCTTAGGGTGAAGGGTGGAACCTTTGTAGTTTAGGGAAAGATTTGGGTCTTGGATTTACGGATGAATTTTGAGAAGGTCAGGCTTTAGTAGTTTAAGATGCAGGGTTTGGATTCAGCGGAAAGCTGCAGATGTCGGGATTGGCTGATGACTGGTGCACTTGGAAAGTACCGGATGTGATGCGTTTCCGAGGTTTTCTGTTTTTTTGTCGATCCCTCAACCCTAAACCCTAAACCCTGAATCCTAAACCCTGAATCTTAAACCCTGAATCCTGAGCCACTACACCCGAAAAACCCAAGCCCTAGCTGGACCTTGAAGATCCTATCTTTTTAGGGCTTCTTGTCATGAGTTCCTTATATATGTAAGTCCTTAAAAATTACGGCTGATGATATAAATCCTGCATTACCCATAATAACAAGGCATACATCATAATTCCCATAGTTTAGGGTCCTTAAGGGTATGGGTTATTTGGGGTCCAGGAAGAAGCTGAAGCCACTGTCTAGGACATTTTCAGGTGGATAGTTACCGTTATAGGAGCCTTCTAGAAGGTCTAAATACCTTGCAGAAGCCTTATATAGAAGCCCTATATACCCTAAACCCCCCACCTATAGTTTCCTTCAACACTGGCCCGAGGTGGATCAATGAGCCACTCCGGGCCAAGAGCCTCGTCAAGCTGCAGGCAAAGGGCGGAGGGACTGCGAGGTTTGGGGTTTAGGGTATGCTCATAGAAAGAAGGGTTGATCGTCTCTGATTCGGCTTTTTTGGGGCTATAGGTTTGTTTAGGATTTCTTGATGAAGTGCCTCGTACACATACAAAACACTCATCATAAGTCAGGTGTCTGGCACACGAGTATCAGAACCGCATACACCCTTTCCTGAACCTTCGATTTGATCTCGTCTGCTTGCCCCCAGATTTTCCCAAATTCCTGAATCACGGAATGTATACCTTACATGATATTGGGGATCCTCTCATTGAAATTTATGCATTCTGTCCTAAATTATGGAATGCTGAAAGATCTGGTTGGCCTAGTTGGTTCGTATTCATTCGACTCACGACAAGACTAGGACGGTTGAATTCACCCCGAAAGCTTTCCCGCCCTAAACCCTAAACCCTAAAGCTGGGTTTTCGGCTAATTTCGGATTCGCGCTTTACGGTTTGGGGTGCAACTCAGTTGCAGCGAGGGACAGGAAATCCAAAGTCCAAAGCATTGATCCTCAAAACCCAGGAGGGTTTAGGGTTTACTGGGTCCTTCTTGGACACAATTTTACATTTTTGTTTTCATAACACCCAATAAGGATTAAACATGATCATTTTTAATATAGCCCCAACAGGGGACCAGTTTAGGGGGGTTTTGGGTTTGGGGTTTGATCCCAAACAGCCTGTCGATTCACCCTGGACCCTTTAACTCAACAAGCAGACTACAAAGTCGCTCAACTACATCGAAGCATAAGCAGGTTTAGGGTTTAGGGTTTAGGGTTTAGGGTTTGGGAGATGGTTCAGGTGCTTGGGCCCTACTTGGAGGCCCAGGGGACTTAGTAAGTAGGTTATAAGTAGAGTTATAAGTACCCTAAATGGAGTTACCCCAATTATAACCCTACTTTTAACCGACTTACTAAGTCCCCTGGGCCTCCAAGCACGGTCCCAGTATACTGAATGAACACAGAGCTCAGCATGACATATCCCAAAACCGCACTCCGCTTGCGAATTGCCCTCTGCCAAACCTACCCATTTATTAAAGAGATACAGGGGTAGGTTTCAAGAGCAGTGTCCCTTTTCGGATCCTTTTCATAAGGGTGCCGTACTATATTGGGGACCTAGAAAGGGACCCGAATGTAGAGAACTACGCAAATCCTGATATAAAACACTGCTTCAACATGTATGGCAGACGTCCAAAACCTCATGGAACCCTATACGAAGCCTATGCATAGTTCCTAGAGCATGTATTTACTATTCACCGAACCCTCTAAAGGAACCCCTTAAAGCATGTCTTTCAAGGAGCCCCAAAATCCTAAACCCCAAACCTTAGACCCTTGCCCCTAAACCCTTTAAACCCTAAGCCCCAACCTGAAACAAAGCCGAATCTCTTCATCCTTAAACCCTAAACCCGAAACCCGAAACCCTAAACCCTAAACCCGAAACCCGAAACCCGAAACCCTAAACCGTGCTTCACCGAAGCCAGGAGCGACTAGCGGGGGATCTCAAGGTGTTGGAAAGCACCGTGCACTTTGGCTTGCGGAGAGCTTTCAAGGGTTCCTTTCCTTAAAGGTTTAGGGTTTAGGGTTCCTTTAACGGGGACTTTATGGCGGGATCTAACGGAACTCTAGGGGGGCTCTAAGGTGAGCATGAATATTAGACATTTGGACCCTCACGGAATACTCCGAGTTTCTCCAAGTAGGAAACATTTGTAGTTCTCTTGGCCTCAAAATAGGTAACATACCCTAAACCCTAAAAATATACCCTATACCCTAAACCCTAAACCCATTGTTTAGGCCTGGAGTTTGGGGGGAAGTCAGAGCTCGCGGGCAGTTTTGGGGATTTCGGGTGTTCTATGCTTTTTGGCATCCTGTGGGGTTTGCGGGGGCTTGGTGGTTCCCCCCCCCGGGGTGTGGTGTGGGTGGTTGTGGGTTGCTTCTCCCCTCCGTCTTGGTGTGGTTCGATCATATGATCTATATACGTATATGTAAATATATGCTTACTGGTTGTTGTTTGAAGAGATGGGCTTGGCCCATCAAATCTTATCACGTGCTCGGAGGTGACAGGCGAAACAGGGACACGACCTGGAGGGTCATACGCTACCCTTGTTGGAGGGAAGCTAGTTTCATGGTTAGGATCTGTCATAGGTTCCAGTATACAAGTAGGTCTGGCCCTCAAGGGAAGCTTTGCCTAGACCCTGCATGGTAACTTCATTTCCTTACTGGAATACCCTAACTATGAAATCCAAAGCGGAGAAGTGACATCGATACGGCAATTCAGGATTTGGGGTTTCGTAAGCTGGGATTCGGGAAGCTGATCTACGAGGTCTGCGAACCCGAAAACCAGGAAAAGCCTTGAACAGATGCCCTAAAGCCCTGGACAGAGCACTCGCCCTCATTACACCGTAGTTCCGTCGAAGTTTGTCACATATCACATGTACAGGATTTTGGCTGCCACGCCTGCTGCTACCGGCCATGTCTCGCTGGCGAAGTGTCGTGTTGAAAGGGGTACCGTTTGTCGGATAATCGAATCATGTTATGGTTAGGATGCCTTCAGCAAGACATAAAAAGTAGGGTCTGGGTAGGCTGTCGGCTTCGGCAAGACATGCTTCAGGAACCTGGCAGATTCCAGAACCTGCCAAGCTGGGAAAGCCTGCCCTCTTCGTGGTCGCGGTTTAGGGTTTTAGGGTTTTAGGGTTTTGCGCAGCAAGCCTGCGAGCGCTCGTTAGGAAACGTTTTGTTCCCACGACTTGGGCCACGAAATGGCATGGGCAATCTGCAAATCACGCGATGCAGATGGCTAGTGGATGTGCGCGTGCAAGACACCCTAGAAACCTTAAACCCTAAACCCACACCCCAAACCCTAAACCCTAAAACCCTTAAAATCCCTAAACCCTAAACCCTAAACCCTAAAACCCCTAAACCCAGTACTAACCAGAAGGTTTCTTCTCGTCACTAGATGAGCAAACCATCGGGGCCTCGCAGCTTCGGCGAGTTCGCTGCCAACTTACATGGCAGTGCTTAAAGTCTCTACACACCTCCGTATTTTGTTTGGGGGTTTAGGGTTTAGGGTTTAGGGGGGTCCTGATTATATTTACTTAGAGGCCCAGGGGACTTAGTAAGTAGGTTATACATGGAGTTATTAAATGGAGTTACCCCAATAATAACCCTACCTATAACCGACTTACCAAGTCCCCTGGGCCTCCAAGTATAGCATACTGGAACCCAAAACCCTATTCTACTTATGAAGGCCCCTACATTATATCCTATAGGCAACCCATCCTGCGGACCCCAGGTAAGGCAAGTGATGCTCAAGCCCATGAAGTGACAAGGTCCAGCATCATCCAGAAGCGTGTCGACGAGGTCCAGCGCACCGTCGCCGTCCCACTACGGAAGGACCCGTGGGATCCTAGCACATGACATGTGAAGGGGCGGTGTTTAATTTAAAAGGCTTGACTAATTAGCACTGTCCGGGCTATACGGAAATAATCGAATTACAATCACTGCTTTTTATGTTCAGACCTCTATGGTATAGGGCTTGGGTCATTGGCTGTGAGGTTTTGGGTTCACGGCTCGGGGTTGAGGGTTGAGGCCTTGGCATTTAGGGTTGGATGGTCTACGCAGGGTTTTCCAAGTTTGAGCCCTGCAGCAACCCCCACGAAGCCGAATTTCAAGAACCGTACAGTCTAAACCTCAGACTTTAAACTTACAAGCCTTAAACCGCGAACCCCCCTAAACCCTAAACCCTAAACCCTAACTTGAAGCCTGAACACTAAACCCGCAAGGCATCACAACACTAAACCCTAGCGATAGGCCCTCAACCCACAACACAAAACCCTAGCCCGCATGCGGACATCCCAAGAAGAGTTCCCCCCGAACAAACAGACCCGCAGCTTTCAGCCAAAAGTCTCAAACTGAAGAGCAGTAGACAGCGAAAGCCAGGAAGTTGGACCATGGATTTAGGAGGATTAGTGCTAGGATCCCTGTCTAGGGTTTAGGGTTTAGGGTTTAGGGTTTAGGGGTTTAGGGTTTAGGTATACTTAACCTTAAGGGTATGAGGACTATAATGTTCCAACTTTCTGGTTTCTACCATAGACGGGTTTGAGGAATAACAACTTGGTCGTCTCCCCTCAAGGTTTCCGCTCAAGATTTAGACTGTCCTGGTTTTTTTTACTTAGTGGTGCTGGAGTCAGCATAAGTTTAGGATTTAGGGTTTGTGCTCTAAGACACCTTTTCCAAGTACTATGACAGTCCCAAGCCCAGTCTCCCCCCGGAGCCCCGAACATGCTAAGACCCATCCGTTCGCAACGATGGCATTTCTTACGCCCAAACCAAACACTCTATTCCTGTCAGTTTCCCTAAACCCTGAAGCCCTGAACCCTAAAGCCCTAAACCGCTTAACCCACGATCCGTGATGGGTTCATTTATCCTCTGTCCTTGATACTTTTCGGACCTACCTGACCCTTCCTGGCAAGAACATGCCAAAACTCAAACTCGCTCTCTCTCTCTCTCTCTGTCTCTCTCTGGGATGCCTGTCTGGGTGATGAGTCTCTGCTCTAGGGGTATGGGGGTTCAGGGTTTAGGGGTATTAAAGCTTGGGGCTACGCTTGACATTCTTCTCCCTTTCTTCTTAGATTAGCAACCTTCTAATTACGTGGCGACTGCTGAGGTTTTCCCCTAGGAAGCTGAGTAAGCGTTGGTAGTTGCATCTGGCGGCCGGCTCATCAGTTTTAAAGATCCCTCAAATAAAAGCTCGTTTGCAGGACTCTTGAGCTATGCTTTAGAGAAAAAAAGCAGCCTTGTGAAGCCGGCACAGATCCTTAAACAAAGTTTGCAAATCCATGTTCAAGCGCAGGTTCATGCGATTGCGGAACAGATGCAGAGCAGCTCGCCTGATGTGGGCTTAGGATTTAGGGCCCCGCAGGCTTCCTCAGGGGGGGGGGGGGGGGGG